ACTATGGCTCAGGATTGAATCCGAAACCTCTCTACACCATGTGAGTACTGTACCTATGTTTTTGTACTCACTAATCTAACCTGAGACCTCTCTACACCACATGAGTGCTGTACCTATGTTTTTGTACTCACTAACCTAATCTGAGACCTCTCTACACCATGTGAGTATTGTACCTATGTTTTCGTACTCACTAACCTAACCTGAGACCTCTCTACACCACGTGAGTACTGTACCTATGTTTTTGTACTCACTAACCTAACCTGAGACCTCTCTACACCACGTGAGTACTGTACCTATGTTTTTGTACTCACTAACCTAACCTGAGACCTCTCTACACCACGTGAGTATTGTACTTATGTTTCGTACTCACTAATCTAACCTGAGACCTCTCTACACCACGTGAGTATTGTACTTATGTTTTCGTACTCACTAACCTAACCTGAGACCTCTCTACACCACATGAGTGCTGTACCTATGTTTTCGTACTCACTGTAGCTCAGGATTGAACCCAAGACCTCCCTACACCACTTGAATGTTGTAACAACTAAAGTTACCCTTTAGCAATATGTGCCAGTAAGTATTTACTGTTTAACAGTATAAAATAAATGTCATAATAAAGTGAGGGCTAGAAAAGTCATTAGTTTGGTTAAAAACAAATTCATGTGGGACTAGTTGGAGAATGAACTAGAAATTACGTTAGTTGTTGGGAGTGAAGTCAAAACTAGGAGAGTCCATTAAAAAGGGTTAATTTACCAGGAAAAGCTTTATGCATGATATGCAACAAATTTATAAGCTATGCTTCATAGGGTAGTTCTACAGCTTCATAAATGGACCTATGAAAAACAGTATAGAACTGGGAACTGACTAATCAAATTTGGCTTATTTACCATAAGGCACTGGGTTCAAACTATTTCAGATATTTTTCCTTTATCCTGTTCTTTTGACATAACATAAAACAAGAAATATGTTATACAACCTACATGATACAGGACATCCACTTTCAGAAGTATGTTATACAACTTACAGTAAACAAGACATCCACTTTCAGGAGTATGTTATACAACCTACATGAAACAGGACATCCACTTTCAGAAGTATGCTATAGAACTTACAGTAAACAAGACATCCACTTTCAGGAGTATGTTATACAATCTACATGAAACAAGACATCCACTTTCAGAATTATGTTATACAACTTACAGTAAACAAGACATCCACTTTCAGAAGTATGTTATACAACTTACAGTAAACAAGACATCCACTTTCAGAAGTATGTTATACAACTTACAGTAAACAAGACATCCACTTTCAGGAGTATGTTATACAACCTATATTAAACAAGACATTAGCACTAGTTTGCTATAGATAAAACTCTACTATTTTCTACACAAAACCTGAAAGCAGATATCTACCTTCAAGAATATGTTGCTGTATGAGTTCTTGTCTTTCTGGTCGCTTCTGGATCTTGTTTTTCAAAAAATCTCCCATCTATGATCAATTCAAAAAATATACATTGTTAAAATGAACAGGTTATTCACTTTGAACAACTAGTGATAGCCTTGCATTACTATTACTGATTATTTTATGACTTACACTACATTCCCTAAATATTTTGTGTATTACTGATTATTTCATGACTTACACTACATTCCCTAAATATTTTGTGTATTACTGATTATTTTATGACTTACACTACATTCACTAAATATTTTGTGTATTACTGATTATTTTATGACTTACACTACATTCCCTAAATATTTTGTGTATTGGAATTTTTAATGAATACTACAGAAATAAAGACAAACTGAAGTTTTTATTTTTTAGGTAGACTTCAAATGATAAAGAGTATCATTAATTTTTAACTCTGCTACAAGATACTGTAGGGGTTAAATAATCGCAATTTGCCAAATATTAAAATCAGTTAAAATATCAATAGCTATGTACTGCTCTAATAAAGCATTAAATACAAAAATGCCAGGATAATAATAAAACCATTTCTTAATAATGTTAGTACTTCTTTCAATACCTTTGCTCTCTCTAACTTCTGTCTCTGTTCGTGGAAAGCAGGTGGAGTATTTAAAGCTGAAACAAAAATAATATTGTTTATTGATCCTGTTTCTGGTGACCAACTTATATGAACAAGTGCAACCATCTCTGCATTCGCATGAACAATAAACTGGAATTTTAATCCTAAACATTAATAAAACATCTTATTACCACTGACAGTATTTTTACTTCTACTTACGTGGCATTATTCCTTGTTCCACAAGTTGGTTGATTGGTCTCCGAAGCAGAAGCTTCTTTTGTAGGGCTAAAATCATAAAAATAAAACCTAAATTACACTTTGCTTAAAAATCTACTATCCTATTCTTTGTTATGTGTAGAAAAAATTGTTTTACTTAAAATTATATTAAAACATGCTTAAGTAAAAACAATCTATGCCATAAATACCTTACTTTGTAAGGTTAGAAAATCTGTTAATTGATCCTGATTGATCAGAAATTGCAGTAGATATACACAAGACATTGAAACGTAGAGAACACATATTATTGTTATGTGGGACTGAAGACAGTGGAGATTGTTTACAAAACTCAACTTTGGGTGTGTTATTGGAACATTAAATAGGCAATAAATTATTACCCCACCCCTAAACTTTTTTCTTGGTTTATTACTTGTATTACAGTGTTGGATATCTTTCAGGAGGAGTGTCGGTACATAGTTTAAGATGTATACAAGATTGTTACACTTGTATTACAGCGTTGGATATCTTTCAGAAGGAGTGTCAGTACATTGTTTAACATGTATACAAGATTTTGACACTTGTATTACAGTGTTAGATATCTTTCAGAAGGAGTGTCAGTACATAGTTTAACATGTATACAAGATTGTTACACTTGAAATAGTGCTGGATATCTTTCAGAAGGAGTATCAGTACAATGTTTTACATGTACATAGATTGTTACACTTGTAATAGTGCTGGATATCTTTCAGAAGGAGTGTCTGTTTAAAGTTCACGTATTTTTGCACTAAATAGTTTTGTGCATTTATCTCAAAACAGAAGTATTTATTTAATATGAAACTTGATAACATTTTAAGTATCACATAAAATATTTATTTCAAACACTATAATCAGAAATTTTGTATGAATTAATGTATTACTTTCTGAAGCAGAACATTATAATATAGTATTACAGAAGAATGTGATTGGCTAATACGACAGATTTAGTAACTTTTTTTTAAAATTCATCAAATAATTAGTTTGCAGCATGCCATTGACAATGACACAAAAGTTAGTTTGGTACAATGAAAGCAAACATATACTTAAATGTTATTGGTACAGTTTGTAATACGTGTTTGTGATACAGCTTTTGATAAAATACTTAAAGGGAAAAGCATATGATTGCCAAATTACTATCAACATTACTATTTACTAATCATTAAAAATACTACCCTTTATTTGTATCACAACATTACTCTTGTAGGACTATGATATTGTTTTTATCCCATATTATAAACATTAAATAGATAATTATAACATGCGAGATTTGACATAAAGTTGGCAGAAAAGGTAAAAATGGAAACACAAGTAAATCTCATTACAACACATCATGGTTCTTCTACATGTGGCCTTATGCATTCTTTCATCATGTACAACATATACATTTTTGTTAGTTTTGCTATGTGCCAAATAACACTAACTACAAACAGATGATACAAGTAAACTGACTCAAGAAATTCACCTTTAACTGTTTGTGTAAACTTCTCATCAGCCTGAAGAATGTTGCCTTTGATTAACTCCAATGGGATAACCCTAACCTATTCTCTCACTATTGACTGCTTGTGTAAACTTCTCATCAGCCTGAAGAATGTTGCCTTTGATTAACTCCAATGGGATAACTCTAACCCATTCTCTCACCTTTGACTGCTTTTATAAACTTCTCATCAGCCTGAAGAATGTTGCCTTTGATTAACTCCAGTGGGATAACCCTAACCCATTCTCTCACCTTTGACTGCTTGTGTAAACTTCTCATCAGCCTGAAGAATGTTGCCTTTGATTAACTCCAATGGGCCTGGACGATGTGAGAGACGATCATTTAAATCATCTGCTAAGTGGGCCTTTCTTAGTTGCCTCTGTTTTTCTTGCAAGCTCCGATCTACCTTTGTGTCTATATATCAAATTAATTACAATATATAAGTCAGAAAATTAAAGACAAGAAAAAATACAGAGTATGATGGATAAATTTGTTAACTAAAACAAAATATATAAAATAGTTAAACAACACAGATATGATTGAATACAATAACACAAAACATGAGGTGAGACCTATTCACTCATAACACATTCTCATCTAGCACCACTTCAAATTAAAAGATAAAACTGATACAGAAGACTGTAGTTTGCAATAACTATAAGTCGATCTCCTTATTTTAAAGGGTTGAGAATTTTCTACCAATTGTCAGATATCAACTTTTTAAATGTTGCCTAGGTTGTTCATGTGAATTATTGTAACAATCTTGTATACATGTTAAACTATGTACTGACACTCCTTCTGAAAGATGTCCAACACTGTAATACAAGTGTAACAATCTTGTATACATGTTAAACTATGTACTGACACTCCTTCTGAAAGATATCCAACACTGTAATACAAGTGTAACAATCTTGTATACATGTTAAACTATGTACTGACACTCCTTCTGAAAGATGTCCAGTACTGTAATACAAGTGTAACAATCTTGTATACATGTTAAACTATGTACTGACACTCCTTCTGAAAGATGTTCAACACTGTAATACAAGTGTAACAATCTTGTATACATGTTAAACTATGT